TTTCGTGGTCCCATTTCATATGGGACCCGTATCGACGGATTGCATGGCACCAAAAAACGGTGGGAGCGAACCGAGATGGACAGGGAAAATACCGGTAATAAGCAAGAAGATGGATAGAGGTGAATGGGAATCTCTTTCGGGAAGGGTTGGGCTGTATTTGAAATGCAATTATTTGACAAATGGTCCACTTGTGACATTTTTTATTTTGCATTTCAAGTACCCATTATATATCTAGAATTGATATTTTTAAATATTACAAGATCAGCGTTTCGTATCTCCATGTACTGATGAAACTTAAAAATGCTTAAAGTTATTTGCATCTTCAAATACAAATGTAAATACAAATTACTTTACAATTTTTAAAACCACTTTTGTCCCTATTACTCTGGAACTGCCCCCGTATACTACGTAGTTGTAGACTCCCCTATGTGGAGAGGAAAATTTCCGCCTTGGCTTGTGGAGACACAGACCTAACTAATGGCCGGAGAGAATAGGGACAGGATTTCCGACCATTAGAGAGCTTCGCTCGGCCCACACGTCTCTCTGGAGAGGAAAAGAGATCTAGTCCACACTTTCTCGCTTCTTAATTAGGAATGAGGATGAGAAAACCTTGTAGCATTTCCTGGTCTGTTTGACCAGGAAATTGACCTTAACTGCTTGATTTTAATGCATATTTCACGAAAGATTGCAGTGACTAAATTGATAGTTTGAGTTTTTCCTTTTTTCATCGTGGAAGAATAAACACCAGCTCGATCGACGATGCAAGCTCGCTGTCCGCTCCTGGGCAGTCAAGAAGATATTCCATCTTAATCTGTGGAGTAACTATGATAAACCTGCAGGGCAAAAAAGGCTGGAAATAAATTCCTTTCCAATCGCAACCTTCATGTAGCCAGCACTAGAAGTCTTTCGGGGAGAATGGAGATCTCGTTCGCATCGAGAAAAGTTCTCTATTGTCACAGTTTCAACTGAAGAGGCGACAATATCAAAAGGACTAAAGACTCAAACTGGACAGGACATATTTTTCAAAATCGGAATCTTACGACATTTTCTTTTTTTTTATATGAACCAACGACAGGAGAAATGAAACGTTAAAGCCCGAATGCTGAAACTTCCTTTAGTGAACGGTCCTTTACGAATACATAAGTGGGAGAAAAAGAGCTCCTTAGCTTGAAGGTCCCTTTTTCTCCCATGAATGTTTGTGCATTCAGTCCTTAAACTCTGTGTTCATGTCATAAATTCATGAGCGCATGGGTTTCTGTGTCAGGTCGTTTTTACATATCAACAGGATCACTCTGCATTTATATCAACTTCTATTTGCGTATCCAACCTGTCTAGACGTTGATTTCTGCGATTGCGACTGATAGATTGATTTTATGGCTTCGTTTCCCCATAAGTTTACAGACAGGAAGACGGGTCCTAAATATATCCGCAATGAAACAAGGCTTATTGATTTAAATGGCAGGCTTCAGATTTGCATGCAGTGCTCTTCCTGGAATAGCGGAAAGAATGATTCTTCTTTCAAGCACCCTCCTCTCGCTAAAAGTGTTAATACAAAAACAATTTCCATGGAAGGGGGAGAAGAAATCTCGAGTCCTTGTAGTGACTTTCCAGCCTAGATTTGCATCTGGAAAGAGAGACAGTACTCTCTGCCCCGGTACCGGTCTTAATTCTTGTACTACTTTTTCTTGGCGCAGTGCCGTCTAGAGAGCTTAGTCGAAAGTTTGACCCATAAATAAATACAGGCGATTAGATCGGCGGAAAGCTCAGCGGAGTCCCGGAGCAGCGCTGAGACTCTTAGCTGATTACTGGTCGAGGGTGTAACAGATGAGGGCTAATGAGATCGTCTTCGCTCGCACAAAAGGGTTGCATAGCTTCAGATCGGAGCAGCACGTGTTTAAAATTAGACAACTTGTGTCGCTATCGCGAACACATGGCGAACACGCCGACTCGACATGTGCTCTGAGCCAGCATTTTCACTAGGGAAAGGAAGGTCAGAGGAGGAAGGGCGAGCAAGCTTTCGTTTCGTATCTCTCCTCGCGGCGCCCTACTTATCCGCGCAACGGGAGTCCATTGGACTCCCCAAGGTATATTTAATTGCATTGCACTCTGGGAATTTTTCCTTTATGTTTCTAAATAAAAAAAAGAGAGAGAATGTCACGAAAAGACCTCGCCCGGATAAGGGTTAAGCCCAAGAGGAAGTTCCTTCGCATGAAGGGGTTTCCGATCGCGGGTCTTGCATTATCGAGGTTCGGCATTATCGGGCTTCGGCTGATTTCAACTGATTAGATGGAATGGGAAGGGAATGAAAAGAGTTCCTCTTTCACCATCCAACGATAATCTGATTACAGAGATGGAAGGAAGCAGGGGAAGATTTTCTTCCTCCCACTCCGAGTTTCTTCAATAACACGATAACAGTCACTTTTAACTGCCGAGTCTTTCGTCGACGTTCACGTGATGTATGGGCATTTGAAATAAAGAAATTTTCAAAATAAAAATTTTTCATAATTCGGCATTGACTGTGCAGGCGATTCGCGAACGCCAAATAGTACTTTTGACGTTTAATAATGGGGAAACTGAGGATACCCCCTATTAACCACTTTTTACATTGATTTCGACAATAACTACTTTCGCCGCTGCAGAATGACATAACAGTTGAACCAAAGACCCCATGTGTATTGAGCCTGGGAATTTTTCTGCCTTCGATAAGAAGTACAAATCACATGTCAAGCGAGATGAAAGCAACATTATTTTCCTCATACGGCTCACAAAGGACTGCAGGGTTTTAAAATGTCTCTTTCTGGCACATGACCTTCATCCTTGGCATTTACAACAGATAATAGCTAGCTGGTTCAAACACTCGTGTAGGCAGGGATAGCAGGGGATTTTTCCATTATTCTTATTCAAGCTGGTTTCGATAGGACATTTCATGCGAGGCAATATCTCCTCCTGGTACATACGCTTTATCGTCTTTACCCATAAGCTATTCGTTCCATGGGTCTTTTGGTTGTCGTGGTTCATACGATCCCACGCAGCGAAACTTCGCATTCCTTCAAAGAATTAGCACATGTCATCAAGACACCAATAATAATCATAAATTTTAGTCACAGGCTTTTTTTTTATGGTAGTATAATATCAGAAATACTGAAATACATTTTCGATCTCACAGCACTCAAAGGACGTTCAAGAAATTTACTCTCAAGTCCAGGAAATACGTTTTCTGCATTAGATTGAAAGCCACTGGAATCGCCCATTATTGCATTGAGATGTCATCTTATCCTGCAGAATAAGTTCTACACTTCAGCAGTAGATGTATCTAAGATGAATAATTTTGGGATTTTGGGGGATTCATTGGTACTCAATGCTCCTGGGTGCCCAGCAATGATGCTTTCGTCAGCCCATCAAAATTTTACTTTAATTCTTGTCCCGTTCGGGATGTCATAATTTTTTTTCGTCATATATTTGTCAGAGCAAATATAATTACAAAAATTTTATTTCAGTCATGGTTTCAGAATTTCAATAATTTTTTACCACATCATGATCAATATTCTACATTTTTACGAATTTTTGCTGGAATTACATTTTGACCAATTTTTGTAAATAAAAAATATTGCTTCGAAGAAATGAAACTTTTATATCTCTTATTTCTATGAATGTATCATGTTATGTAGGAAATGTAAGAACGTAGGACTAAGACCTGAATCCGCCAAAACAATGCTTTCACACATGAAAGGTAATCCTATCAGAGGCCTAGCTCTAGCCTGAATGGCTATGGGTAGGCCTGAACCCATGAGAAACGTTTGAAATCAATGTTAACCTATGAAATATTTGGGACTATTTTGAGATATATAGGAAAATTATGTCTAAATTAGCCAAAAAGGGGACCTGGCCAAAACGGTTTCTTACACGATGAAAAGCCCGCGAACGCCGTCTGGACGTGTGAAACCCTTCACATTACTTCAAGCTCTAATCGCGGGCTGCGCACGCGCATGGACGAAAAATGGGAAATGTGAGCGAGATTCCTGGAAAGGACATAAATTGAAAAAATTTTCAGATTTAAATAATGTGGATTACTTTAACCCTTTCCACTCGATTTTTCTCGTAACGCAATGGACAATGCCGAGCCACGCACGACAGAATGCAAAGGGAAGGCTTTCGCTGCGGTTGTCTCACTTTCGATCTCCCCAAGGGATATCAAGCGTATTAAGTTCCGCAGAGAATGAGTTCAATATTTTCACTTTCATCTTCAATAGATTGCAGAATGTTTGCACACGAATAGGCAGGATGGGACGAAAATAGACGATATACTTATTTTTTGTTCTCGTCCACATTTCGTCCATTGAAAATGCAGATTTTTTAGCTTCGTCTTCATGAATATTGAAACATTTTTCATCAATGGCCTTTTTTGTCTGAATTTTCGTTGATGAAAACATCATTGACGCCCAGTCTCCTCAACAAACCTTTCAATGTAGACAGTTACGAGAACGTCCTTAAAAGAAATCTCATCAAAGACAGAAAATATGACTTCGTGAATTCAATCAATACGAAGAGCTCTCTTCTTGGAAAAGAAACTGGAGCAATCTCGGAACGAAGGAAGTAGAGAGACAGAGAGAGAGAAAGAAAGAGGAAGAGGACCAAAGAGGAGGCAATCATGGGATGCAACGTTCCATTGGCCAGGCACTTGAGAGAGTACTCGACTCTTCCATCGTTAACGGTGCCTGACCGGAAGTCCTTCGCCGAGGACAACGAATGGAGGACGATTGATGGGAGGGAAGAGAAAATGTCTCATCTCGTCGAGATGGAACCCAAGAGATCGCCATTCAACAAGACCATCCGTCGTGTAAGTACACACGGAGACCGGACCGAGACGAGAGGGTGACCCACAATCCATTTTCCCAATCCCCATAATCAATATTTGCACAAGCTGGCAGGAAGGGGTCCCCGACCACCATCGCAAGGAAGAGAGGAGAGTTTTCATTTTTTTTTTTTTTTTTTACCAGCCATCATTCCTCAAATGACAAATGACAAATGACAACAGCCTAAGCTGGAAGTTGGTGTAGACGAAAAAAAAACCAGAATTTGACCTCCCATGAACCTTGTCATCTTCGATGAAAAAAATTAACGTTTTCTATGAATACATGTGATAAATGTCTGCTCCATTTGATAAAAGACTGCATGTTTCGTGAGCACCCTGTATCAAGTTTATCGAGTTAATCGGCGGATGGCGCCTTACTTTGGTGATGAAACCGTTGCGGTCTTTATCGAACACTCGAAAGGCGGCGATTAGGTCCTCCGACACGTCGTCGGCCGACGCCTCAGACGACGAGGACGTGCACGTCAACTTCCCCATCCACTGCAGAAACTCCGTTTCGTTGATCAGACCATTCTCTGCGAGCGGAAAGGAATCCCAAAACCAACTTCACTTCATGAACGTCTGAGGCACTCTTGAGGGGGAGGGGAGGGAGGATGCAAGGCGATCTTTACCTGAGGGACTGGCAGCCTTGATGAGTTCTTGGGTGAATTCCTCTTGGATGTGGATGCCGAGTCTCTTGAGCATGGATTGCAATTCGGACGCGTTCACGCGGCCGTCCTTGTTCGCGTCCAGCATCGTGAACGCCGCCTTCAATTCTGCCCAAAGAGAAAAATAATTCGTGAGCTGCTCTGGAATTGAATTCGTGCTGCAGTGCATTCATAAATCCTCTTAAACCTTCCTGCTTTGTGATACTGCTGTTTAAGTACATAGCCCATAGAGGTCGAGGGATGAGATTATGTCAAAGAGAGTCGGGAGGCAAATGCGAAGAGGATGCAATCTCAGAGAATAGTATTTGAGGCTTCATTCCGCTTCTGTGCCCTGACAGCCCCTATGATGAATAGCTTCATAACAGGACGACATTTATTATTATATCAGACTCCCTCCACTTTCCATCTCTCCTTTTCGTCGGGCCCAACTCTTCTGCCCTAAGCAAATCCGCCTTCCTTGACAAAATTGGAATTCCATGTACTGTATAAACGACGAGACGCATACTCCTAACGTTCTATTAACGAGACCTACACAGATACGGAGACGCACCGAGTCGAACTCTCGCTGCCTCGAACTTCAGACGCCATCAGAAAAGTAATCGCTTTCTTTTCCAAAGAACCTCCGATTAACGTCTAGTGTCAGCACCTGCTTCCTCCAACTCCTGCGCCACCCCAAACAACACGAACGGCGCGCGAACAGTAGAGGAAATGCCTCAATCTGGTCCCAAGCTATCGATCCGATGAGAGGCGAGGTGACACGGAAATCCTTTCATCGTCTTCGCGACAGCAACGTTCGTGCCGATGGTGGGAGGTCGGTCGGGAGGCTGTGGGCGGCCTTCCAACGATGTCTGCCGGTCTCACTGCGTCCACATTTGCGAAACCACCAGATTTTTGGAAGGCAAAGAGTTTCAGTCCCTAATACGACATGCTTTAAATGACGACCATGTTTTCCTCCCAACAGGAAGCGATGGCAAGAGATTCAACTTTAGTCTACTCGACCGACTAAGAATAGACCGAAAGTTTATTTGTGCTAATCCCAGTTTTTTAAATCCCAACTGGAAATTTCCAGCTGGACTAGAGCTGTAAATTCAGACCCATTCCAGCTGGGAAAGAGCGGAAAATGCTGGTTCATGGTGATCCAGGTTGGTTTCGAACTGGAAATTCTAGTTAGAACTTTACACAGAGGATTCTCTAGCTGAAATAGGGTCGAATTTACAGATGTAATCCAGCTGCTTCCGTTGAAGGATCTCCAGCTTTATTTTCCAACTGGAAATTACAGCTGTTTTGAACTGAAATTTTAAGCTGGGCTTTCAAAGGTAATGAGTCAGGCTGACCAATAAAGTTAGTGAAAACTCAAATGCCCCAGAACTCCAAAATATTAATTCCTAAAACTTCCTTGGTGGTTAAGGAGATTGCATCCTCTCACACCGTGGGCAGTCTACTTTGAGATTAGTTTCAGGCTAAGAAACTGTCATTTTTTTCCACTAGTGTATTGAGGATGGATCCACTTGATGACCTTTTGACAGAAAATCACAGAATTATGGGAATGGGCTCAGCGGACGAAGTGAGAATTTCATGAGCTCTTAAGCTTCTTCGCAGGAAAGACGAGGAGTTTCGAGTCACTGGCACCAGAGGAAATGGCTCACGACGATGATGGAAACGTAGAGAGCACCCCCTCGTACTAAGCCGATGCTTCCACACGACGATAGTGCGACGTGCGATGGTGTTCCGTGTTTTCTCATTTACCTCCTGATTCGTTCCAAGCAGTGGCGTAGCTAGAGAGGAGCATCCGCATATTTCGTCGTCCTCCCCCCCCCCCCCCCCNCCCCCCCCCCCCCCCCCCCCCCCCCCAACAAGAATATGAACGAGGCTTAATATCCGAGACACAAGCATCTGGGCACACCCACCCCTGGGGAAATCATACGCGTTCCTTCTCTGTTTGGTCGAAAGAGCGAGAAAGTGAGCCGTCCTTTTGGAAAATGATGGGCTTACAAAAAAGAAAAAAAGAAGAAAAAAAATATATATACGAGTATATTATCGCTGACAGCGCCAGTCATTTGTCCGAATCTACTCCAGTCTTATATCTAGACGTTTACAATTCAGTTCAACACCTCGCCATTAGCGGATTTCATGGGCGAAGTAGGTCCCCCTTACAGCAACTTCGGTCCCCCCCCCCCCAAAAAAAAAAGAGATGTGGTTACGTCACTAGATCCACACATGAAACTAGGTTTGTTTTGTCATGCAAATCTCATCCAAAACAGGATTGAGAGGTGTAATGCGAAAGGCACACTCACAGCTCTAGCGAGAAAGAGTTTCCATGCATACAGTATGACGTCCCATGAGATTATTCCATCATTACCCTGCGTAGTTTCTTCCGCTTCTTCCATCTTCCATGTTTTCTATACATTTCAGAGAGGAGAGAGAGTTGCCAAAAAAAAGGGAAAAACAAAAAGCAGGAAAGAAAAGGGGTGGGGAGAAAATAGCTAGAAAGAAGAGAAGCCGTTTTCCCAACTTTTCGTGTCTCGCACAGTTCTTCCGCGGGACATTGCCCAAGAATTCGCTCTCATCTCCGTCTATTTTTGAACTGAAACTGCTGGAGTGTTCCCGTCTCTTTGTCCCGGAGGTCACGTCTCGACATGGCAAAACACTCCATTGTTTTTATTAGCAGATGCGAGCGGGACTTTTATCCAAAGGTCATCGATCGGCGCTCATCTACATTCATGTATTCGAGGAATTTCTTATTTCTGCGCACAAAACATACAATCTCGATATGATGAAGTATGCTATTGAAATGGATCTCAACCCGGAAGAGCTCATCTTCATCCGATCGGGTAGATCGTCGGTTTGCAATGCCCTTAATTGAGCACTCGGGAAGATGAGCCGGGCTCATGAGGGACACGTGGTCCATCGGCTCAGAATTATCGAGGTTTAATGGAAATTTGCATGCGAAGTCTTTATCTCCTCCGCGGAATCCCTGGCTCTCGTCCAGAGCTCTTTCAAGGCCGATGTCGCGGTGAATGAGGTCCGGGCGGGGAGAGGGGAAACAAAGGATATCGATCTCATGGATATTCCATGATATTTTCCAAGTCCATCAATAAATCTGATCGGGGAGAGAGAAGTGATTATCGTTTTATCGACGTTGATGACTCCTAAATTGCTTTCTCGTTCGGTTTCCGCTTCATCCACGACGTAAATATCCGGAAGACCGTTGCAACGTGTTCGTTTCCCTACGACGAGTGAGCGAAACTTCACAACTTTCTCTCCTCGATCTCCTCGCGTAAAGAGGAAAGGGCGGGAAAGGGGAAGAAAAAAAAGTCTTTAAGAGGGGTAAGAGGCGAGAGGTTGAAGATGAGTGGAGATCCTCCAAAAGGTGTAACTTGATGCCTCTTACGCTTTCCCCATTCTTCCCTGCTTGTGTTTTTAGCACCCCTTCATCCCCGCGTCGACTCGGGATCTAAATCGGGAACAGAGACTATTTTCGGCCATTAGGAATGTCAACATCGCTCCAATTTCAGCTCCAATTTTTCCCCTTCCCCTTCCCCTCGAACTTTCCCCGAGCTCGATGGTCTCGCGTTCGAACGAGCAGAAGAAGACCGTCCTTGTTCGACTTCCATCCGAGGCGAAGACGGAAGTAAACTATGTTGGGAATATATGGAGGGAAGGCTGTAGGAAGGTGAACGATTTATTTTGCTTCCGTCTATTTTTATGGAGTCGGGAGGCCTACGCTGTCGCCTCATTTCGAGTTCACTCACGTCTTCGATGAAGCTTGCGTGGGACTTTGCCACCGCGTGACGGGTCTCAAGTACGGTCATGTTCCAAGAAAGAAGCAAGGCCAGAGTAATCAAGGCGACCGAGATAAACTGCGAGGGTGGATCAAAGAGTGACGGCCGATAATTTTTTTCACGTTTCTTTCTATCCTCCACAAAATGCTTTTGAGGGTAGGTGTTCCATTTGTGATTGATGCTAACATGCATTGATTTTATCATTTGCCACGGAAGGATTGGCGCACGAGAGATTAGAAACTCGCGGTACCATTAAAGACATGCAACAAACCTGACAGTGATATGTTATTCGTTTTCTGTGGTCGAGGGTTTGGTAAATTATAAAGTTAGTGCAATTTAGCATCAATGACAAACTGTAGCACCTACCCTCAAAAGCATTTTGTCGAAGATAGAAAGAAACGGGAGGAAAATATTATCGGCCGTTACTTTTTGATCTACCCTCGTCTCTTGCTCTAGTGATGATTTTACAGTTCTGCAATCGTCTGTGAACCTTCGCTGCTTGTTCTGATTTTGCTACAGTGGCAGCATTATTCCAGATCGCATTAGCAAAGCGTAGTTGTGTACACACATTGTTTTTCTATTCACCTATTGAACGGTTCTGTCTTCAAAGTATTTATTCAATTGAACAAAGGTCAGTCGATGAGTGAGGAGGCAAGAATCGCCTTTAAACAAATATCTCTTGTTTTTCTTTCCCCCCCACCATTTTTCTTTTCGTGACTGCTCGTCGATACTCGTCCAGGTGTGAAGCACGCAGGGGGCTGTATCTCTTCTAAAACATCCGCACTTCACGCACGATCGGGCACAGGTGCTGCGGCGAAAGCGGACGGGTCGCGATCCGAGAGGGAAATCCACGAAATGCGCGGTAAGTGGAAAGGAACCAGAGCGGGGAATCCCCCGAGATTACGACTCCATCCAATCTCATTAATGGGTCCGGGAGTCATAATCGACACCGGGTGCGAAGGCGGCCGATTCCCTGTCACATCTCCATAACAGGAAGTCAGAGGAAAGAGGGATCTCCTGGGCATTTCTGTCTCGTCTCCTTCCGTTTCCAGCCGATGGAATTCATTCGCGGTGACATGGTGCGGGGATGTCCGTGGATATTACCGACCCGTGACTATCGGGAGTGGGGAATCGTCGGGTTAGCGGGAATCGTGGAGTCGTCCCACAATTCCACGTTGAAATCCCAAGAATTATGATGGTATTCGTGATCTGAATGAAGAATCTCGTCAGGGGGAGATTCTGTCCAAATTGCCTGCGATCAGGGCAACGTCTATTCCCACGACTCCTGCATCCCTAAATAGACAGGGCAGACGGGTCCTATGCACTCCAAGAGTCCATCAAATTCCGTCGAGATAGAATCACGAGGAGTCGAATCGATGCGGGAAATTTTCATAGATCGGCGCAAAAGATCGGCAAGATGCGAGGCACAGACTGAAATTATTTTTGCTCCGGCTTCTGATCCAGAAACAAACTCGTTCCTGCGAAATCTCGCTACCGGTCGTCAGGCACTCAGGAGTTTCATTCAAATCAAATCCACTTTTTTTTTTCCTGAACTTGAATTTGTTTCGATTCCCTTCTCTTCGATAAGGTTGCGGCGACGGTTCTTAGGACCTTGGAGTAAAAA